CTACGCAAACAGAGTATAAACTTTAAATATATGAAAATTCATCGAATTAGATGTTGTTGCAGTTGATTATTTGTTGAAAGTATTTTACTTAAACTCTACTCAAATAACTGCGATCACCCAAATATGTCTTGATGAGAGTGGCATCTTTATTCATCATCTTATACAAAACTCACAACACAGTCCTTCTCTTTCTCAGGAAATCAACCTCACTTTTGTTTGTAACTTTGCTTATCAATTAATGGTTAGATGAAGACATTATTTCTATACTTACCATCACTGACCACTGTTATGATAGACACAACTGATTACGTTATCTATATTGATAGATTTAACCACTTGTTTATCCTTTATACCATCAGCTTGGTGGATAACTAACTTTTCTTAATATCAACATCTGGTAAAATTCCTTAATGTCAAATCTTTATATTCGTTTAAATGACTCTTCTCATTGATCACCTTAAGTAACTTTACAAATCATAAGTAAACAATCCTGTACTGGTAAATCATAACAATCGGTTACTGTTTATTAGTAATGAATTTCGGAAATTTCCTTTACTTTTTACAGCCTTATAATGACCTGTATATCTATAAATATTATCAACGATGAGATAAATGTAATCTCAAAGTATCAAGTGAAAAGCTGCTGATTACACTAAAGGGAAAACAGTTATGTAATATTTCCTATACTAGTTTGTGATAAACGCTCATAAATAACTTCCTTAACTATACGGTTAAGTCATGCGAACACAGTATAAAAATATCTTTAAAAACATTTTCTTTCATTTCTAAGTGACACTATATATAATGAACTCATGAGAACAGTTCATAATAGAAAAACGTGTATGAATTCTTAGCCTCAATGCCTTTAAAACAATAAACAGGAAAGAGGCTTTTACTAGTAATATGAACTCCCAAACAGGTTTTAATGAATATGCCACTACATTACTTTTTATATGTGTCAGATTTGGACATCTATTTTTTCATAAATTTTCTTCTTTAAGCAGGTTTTGTTATTCTTATCTGGTCAGCAGGCTTTGACTTTGAAACTAACTTTTACGAATGCATTACACTAAGGCGTTAGACATATTGTACACTGAAGTTCTCCTTTTCATCAATTCTGAAATCATGAAAGTCATAGACAATTGCTTTCCAACAATATTGGTTTCTTCAGTGGTGCTCATTCTTATTCAAAAGATAAGACTTATTAATCCTCCTTATTTTAATCGCATTACTGTAGAAATGTTATCATAAACTAAATTGACTGTATTTAAAATATAGCTGTAAAGTAATTTCCTGCATTTGGTTAAAACTAGATAAATATTTCATCTGTGAAAATGTAGACGAAAGTAACTTATTATCTTCACTTCTCAGTAAAAAATTACTTCATCACACAAAGCATAATAAAAAATATTTTCATAGCTTACTGAATTTATTTGGCTTTTAAGTAGAATTGTATCAGGATGAAACTTTGCGCACGTGTTTTGAAAGTTAGAAACTCTAATTCCTTAATCAGTGCCCTTTCTTCTAAGAGGGTAGAAAAAATTAAATTTTTTAACAATAAATACATTTCACAGCCATTGTATCTACATATGTCTATACTGTAGAAAGCAACTTCTTGAAACAGCTTACATGAGTACCTGAAACTTAAACTTTCATTGTCATAAGAATATGAATAATATGAATCTTTAACACTGTATGCACCTTTCAGCACCAAAGTATCTGCAGAACTCAAGCGATGTAACAAGAGGAGAAGCTATTGTATTAGCATAATGGTTGTTTTTAAATCATTTTTATTCAGTATCCCACTTTTTAACAAGTAGTTACGACTGGAGTCCCACTGTTATTCCTTTGAAAAATAGTAATTTGTGGGACAATATATGTGACATACTTTCTCATTGGCAACTGAAGAAAAGTTATTTACCTTATACTAAGAAACAGTGTGACAAACGAAATCACTATGGTGCCTAAAAAACCAAGTTATGTGAAATACCAAAAAGCTGTTGTTTAAATTGACCTGTAGACCGATAAAAGAGAATTTGTTCAGCTAAATCTGTCGATTTGCCCATAGAATTTCACTTCTAGCTAAAAGTTCGGTTACACTAGTGATGAAATAAAGCAGTGCTAATGTCTAAATAATTAGGTTTTGGAAGTTTATACAACACAAATGGTGAAATTTTGAACCATATTAAATTTACGACGGATTCTTGAAATATCCTTTTTTTATTTTAAATGATTTTAAGACAGCCATAATTGTCACTGTAATATTGAAATCGTCTACAACCTTATTACTGGATCACATTCTGACAGAATCCTGAGGAATTTGTCAGTGTTCAAATTTTTATGGTTTTCATTTGATCAAAATATTCTAGCTTAAGACAAAAAACAGTAGTTTCTAAAAGACTGATCGGATCACACTTGAGTAGCGATTAAAACCAGCTTAATATCATTTAGAGCCAGTGTCAAAATAAAAAAAACAAAGAGATTACTGTAGCAGAAAAAATATCTGTTTTTTAAACTGTTAAACAAAGGAAACTATGATAACGAAGTAGTTGTTAAGATAATCAGAAGTGCATTAATTTAGAGTAACACGGTTATCAAAAATTGTATTACATTAAACAAACTGAAGTTGTCAGATTTTCAAGTCCCAACAGCTTTTACTGTCATTTTATTTCACATCCACATATAAAAATAAAAAGTATGAAATAGTTATCATCAAAAATATGAAATCATTCATTTCCTTAATTTCCTATCCAACTACCTACAAAACAGATTCATTTAAAACCCTGTTCACTAAGTTCCATCATGAAGTCATTTGAAACACTCTAAGCAAATTAAGACCTTAAATTTGAGTGATTGAATAATCTTTTGCACTTTTTACCATCTTCAGTTATTATACAATAAACGAATATATTCAGTAATAAAATATGCTAATCAACTTTGTGAATACAAAAATGTTCAACATTGTGCACGGATCATCTTAAATTTCGTCACCATATATACATCCTGGTCCTTTTAAAACTAAGTAAATCTCTTAAGGGAGTTAAGAAACATTTTTAAACCAGTGTACTGCATAGTTCTTTTTTGCTAACCAATTCTAATAATGAAGTGAATAATGTAAAGAAAAGTGGAAAATTATTTAAAAGTTGTGTACGATCTGACGAAAATCGCTTTACACTTTTTATTTAATTGAAGTTTTGTTTCATTACTTGATTGATCTGAAACCCTTTATAACTGTTGAGATTAAGTGAATAATCACACGTAAATTTTTGTACCGGTGTAAAGCATATTCATCATGCGTTTTAGAAGAATAACCTTCTTCCTCTTCTCACATTAAATTTTATTGATCCTAATCATCACAAACATTGGACTTCGTGATAAATTTCCAATTTTTGAAAGCAATCGAACTGACAGTAAATTCTGTGGAACAGAAATAAGTAAACTATATAGCTGATGTAAATCAAAGTGTTATAAACTCAAATGCTGAAGCATTATGAGAATAGCATTTCTAGGTTTTAATAAAATAGTTCACTAGTAATTTTATTGCTTTTGCAACATTTTTTCTTATTTAACTAGTCAGTCAACACTGTATTTCGATAATAAGAATTTACTAATCAACATATTAAAAACTAAACGTCTCAAAGTGAGTTGCCTTAGTCTTATACTAAGTCAACAAAGTTCGTATAATATGGACAAATTAAATGAAATATAGGCTATTAGATGAATCTCCTGATAGTCAGTGATTGTAAGACAAACCATGAAGCAATTATCTACTTTCTGTTAGTGACTTGAATCATATTATTTAAAACCACCAAAGTAAAATTAATATATCAATCAGTACTAGTATTAAATAACTAGTGAATATTTATAGTTCTATTTATATTGACTATTAGAATATAACTACATGTGGATGTATAATTACCTATGTTGAAAGAAACGCGTTTCCTAAACTATATTTCCTATCAACTAAATAATACTTTTAATACTCTATAATAGATCGTATTTTATCAAAAGGATTTGTTCAATGTGACATTTTAAAACGTAAGGTAACACCATCTATTCATACATGAATATACTTGTTTTCTTTTCCTATTTCTATTTAAAATATTAGAAAAAGGAAGAACATCGTGTGAAATGTGTTGATCGTGGTTCCATTGGCATCATTATCGGAACAGTTATAATTTGTATTGTTATGGGAGTTGTAATGTTATTGGAGATTTGGGGGAAAAAAATCCATAATTATGTGTATATCGTTCATTCAACTGAAACAAGCATACTCTTTATTATTGCATTAATATTTTGTGTTATTGGTATATGGAATACAAGAAAATTGAAATTCTCAGTGAATTTTTCAAATCAAAATTTGGATAGCAAATTATTAATAGTAACATTTTTTATAACTGTCACATTTTTAGTGGCATGTATTCTCCTGAATATCGCATTTTTATTGGGTAATGGTTTCAATAATAATGAACAACAATGTCTTAAATTACATTTATTCTCAGCACTTTTAGAGTTAATACAAGTTACAGTGCAGAATTTTTTCATAAATGATTTATTCTATAGATGTTGTCACGACGCATCATATCAACAGCGTAAACCAGGCCGTGCAATGATTGCATTATTATCAGCCATAAATTTTTCTTTATGGACAATTTATAGCTTTCAGGTAAGATGACAAGTACTTTAATTTTTGTGATCTTGTTACATATAATATACATATTTTATATGTCAGATATATCAGAAAGAAAATTAATGAAGCGATCATCTCCAAACAATTACGTAATATTTGGTCTCCATACAGTCATAAACTCCTATTTTGTTAGAGTAATATTTTAATATAATATAAGTCTCCACTCAGGCATTTATAAAAAGACAAATATACTTAAAAAATGTTACTTTTTAGTTAGTTCTTTATCATGGCTCTAAAGTAGTATATATATATATATATATATATATATATATTACACTATTAATAAACTATCAGCCAGGTGGTGAGGTTACTTATTGTAGTGACCAAAATCGCAGATGGGGACAACCAACTGCATTTTAATACGAAATTACAGAATCTCTTGGTAAGATATAAGAACCATAAATTGAATACTCCATTTTCAAATCTCCATCATTTGTGCTTCACATTCTGTATGATTCTTCAGATCTACAATTCCTTTCTTATTCTGTTTCTGTTTTCTTCAAGTCGACTTTCATAGCCTTCTACTGCCAGGGTTTCCACTTCCCATTGGTGTTATATACTACTTATGTCGACAGACTTAAGTAACATACACCACAATATTAGCACTACAACATCACGTTTATCGAGTGACTAGCAAAATAACTGAAAAAAAACTAAAATGAAATAGTTAAAAAATTCAAAGAAACATTTGTAAATGAGTCAAAATATATCGTTAAAAGATTGGTAGACTACGAAATATCTAATAAGAGAATAGATAACTAGTAGAATACTAATGATGATCATGGTACAATAATGACTTGAACGTTTCAGTTATGTAAGAATAAAACAGGCAAAATGAATTTCGAAAAGAATAGGTAATTAATAATTCTATTTTAATCTACTTCACTATAGCTTATATTAATGGTCCCCACCTTTTTATCTCAAAGGAAAATGGTCATTAATCTGCTAATGACATAGTTAAATGCAGCCTTCTAAGGGCTGAACTTTCAATACTTTATTTATTATTACACTTTTACTTAAGTCAACTTTGATTAATTTTTTACTGGGTTTGTACTTCGAGCTCAGTAGTTTATTACAAATATTTTATTGCTGCTCTTGAAAACATCATTAGAGCTCATTTCCACATGAAGCATGTCACAGCTGAATCTCACATCTCATAGAATACAAGCAAAATAATCTATCTGAGATGCGTATTTTCTCCATTATGTCGAAATTGTAATGGTAACAAGGATTTATCTCACTGTTAACCAACAAATACTAAACTTCTATAATGAAGCGTTCTTGGGGATCAATAAGTATAGTCACTAAAAAATATATAGAAGGATATGAAAGGGGTATAGATGTTCGGTCTTGGAGATATTTTTAACGCTGAAAACAGATTCATGGAACCACGAAGTGTACAGTTTTATCCGGGGAGGTTAAGTCATCTACTAAGGGGGAGAATACATATCAGTCAATGTAAGACAAACCAAGCTGGACGAGAGTAGGATGTGATAAGCCCAGCATACAAATTAACTCTGTAAAACAAATGACTGCTAATCTAGTTGGATTTCTTCAGATGTCAGTATCTAGTAACTGTCCAATTTATGTGACATGTATTAGCATTGACCACTTTATTTAAATTTTATTTAATATTCATGATTTTAAAACACAGGTTTTTGATTACTCGTTTAAATTTCATTTTTAAATATTGCTTTTATCGTAGAGTGACACCTGAGAAAAACCCATTTAACTCCAAGAAGCACTAAATAGATTATCTGTACCATTTGCTTATCAATGAAAATGATCACCCACAGTCAAAGTAAAACCAAACCAGCACCTCCGACTTATAAGAATGTACAATACCGCTCGACAACTGAATTCATATCTATTGGTCCCTAATTTTTAAGCTTAATACACTGGTAAAACCATAACATTGTAAAACTAAAAGATCATGAGCCCGATTTCCAAGTAGTCATTTTTATTCATTGCTGATAAGTCCCAAAGAAAACGTCACGGCTGACTAATGCACCTAACGTTTAAGAGGTTTTATAGATTGTCAATCGGTGAAGAAAACTGAAAATGTCTCTACTTACCACTATATCAATACTTATTACTTGTCCTTTTGCGTCACTTGGATGCATGTTAAAATGAAATAATACAAACATGCGTAAGATTTTGTATCTTTACATCTGTATGTTTGTTTTGATTTTTACACATAACTGTGCATCAGCGGGATGTTTCATTTGGTGCAATATTATCAGACACATCAAAATTATCATGCTAAAATAACTTCGATTTTTTCACCTGCAATTTTTCCAGTACAAATGATTATCAGACCTCTACCATTTTATCCTTTTCCTGAACGTCAACATCACAAAACACAACTACTAAAGATCCTGGTTAGTTTTACCATCACCAAGCTTAGATTTTTTCCTTGAATCAGTTGCTCAAATGTCATATTTTAAAAGCTGTCACTAAGCATGTTTTATGAGTTTTACGATTAACATTGAAAAAGATACCATGTAACTGTTGGTCATACAGAAAAGTTGGTTTGGCCATATTTTATGGGCCTGGATAATATAGTTTAGTTCAAACTAATCAACTATAAATTATCGTGTTCAGCCGACAAGAAAATAATTAAAATTGTTTTTAAATAATGGTCACTTGAAGATTCAGCCTAATTATTGTAAAATTAAAACGACCTTCGAACAGGAAAGTCTATTTTTTCCTTTAATTATTAGTGAGAATACTTCATAAAAGTTGAGCATTGTCTGAGAACTATTATCTGATGGAAGCCTATACTCAACAGACTTTATTCTCTTAGGCTGGTGTGAAACACGATTTCCAATATCTTTATCAACTTCAGTTGTTTTACATTCTGCATCACCTAATATAAAACCTTTTTGTCTACTTCCGATTTCTATTTGAACTAGGCAAAACATAACAATATACTACTCAGTGTGAATAAAAACTATGTGCAAACAAGTGAACTTCAAAGTCTGTTCATCTACATAAATGTAGCCCTACCAATGGTTATGTTATATCGTTATCACAGTAGTGTATGCTTAGCAATTGAATATATTCGTGTATATGAAGACGAAATAACACGATATGAAAGTATGTTACGTGGAGTACCACATACTAAATTACTACCATTTGGTTCTAAGTGGGAGGTAATTGAATCGCAACACCCAAATTACTCTTTACCAGCTAATTTACTGACAGTACCTAGAACCAGAGCTTTATCAGAACCTGTAGTGACATTGAATCCAAGTGCTTTTTTAAAAGAAGTTCATACACTGGATAAAAGCAACACTACAATTCATGGAAATCATCAAAATATTTCAAGTTTAAATGAACAAGAAGAAAAACAACAAACTATAAAATCAAATAAATTGGAACAATCAAAGTCGCAAAAGTATACCAATCAAAATAAAAGACGTACAACACATATCAGTATGGAATTAGCACAATATCGTGTAAACGCAAGTGAAATGGAGCATCGTCTGGCTGAAATGAAATTAAAAAAATATAAACGTGGTAAAGACGATCACTCAATAAATGAGAAATTAACACTTAATAGATTTAATCCACATAAAGAAGCAGAGCCAACAATGTCAACTTCGTTATCCGACAGCGCATTATCTACAGTACGTACCACGGATACGATTAATGAAGATGATGATGAAGATGATGTTACTGGTGGTATGGAATGTGACGATTATGAACGACAGAATCCATCACCTGAATCATGTTATTATACTAAAACAGGGGATAGTAGTTCAGCTACATATCTTACACAAAGTCAATTATAATTTTGAAACAAAAACAATTTCTAAAATTAAATGTAAAGACATCATTCAAAATAATTCCATACGTCTATGAGTGCATATTTTAAAAAAATAATTTCGAATTTGTTTACTTAAAAAAAACGAAAAATTAATTTTCTGTGATAATTTATTGATTGATATTAAAAAGCTTTATTGATTTTGTTGTTGTTGTTGTTGATGATGATGATGATGATGATGATGATTTACTGTTCATGATAAATTTATTATATTGAAATACTTTTTATTGAATATTGTTTTGATTCTATTTTTTACACTTTCATTGTTTTTCTCCTTCAACCTTAAACTACAACCACCATTCAACAATATCGACAACAATTTAATTTAGACAAATAAAATTATCTTTTGTTATCTACTTTAATATTTTAATGAAACACTTTATGTGTAAATCACAATGATTAATCAAGCAACTATACCGTACAACTAGATAGCAATAAGAATATTAACTTTTCAACACAAATTCACAAAAATGACCTTTGTGTTTCCCTTACTCTTATTTACTCTCACCAAACTTGGCTTTTTTTCTGAAATTCATAACATTAAACACGTAGACCAAATCAAATTCCGATCACATCTTTTTATTTTGAATTTGAATTGCAATATTATTGTACTAATGATGATTTTTGTGTTTATGATTTGTTAGTGTTTTCTTATTAAAACAATATTAATAATTTCATGTTTTAAGTTTGTTCTTACTATAACTTAACGAAATGCCATCAGTTTATGGTCTATTCATCAAAGTTATATTTGGAATAAATTCAGGTTAGCTTTCGGTATTCCATCTGCTTCTGAAATACTTTCATAGCTCAGAGATAGCTGTTAGGAAGAGACAAGAAAAAAAATCTCACGTAGTAACACCCTAATGATTTATTCTTTACATTCCCAATGGACATATACTAAACAGTTGTACCGTGACAGTTTCATGAGTTAGCATTTGTAAGATCTATTTAGAATCACATATTGTTGTTATACCTTAGTCTGTTCAAAAGTTACTGTCAACTATAAATATGTTACGATGTTTTATTCAAAACATTTTGTAGTTATGTACCTAGTGAGATTTATAAATTACAGGAAAAATAAGAAAGTTACAAGTTTAACAGAAAACTGAATGATTTATTACTTAGAGTGAGTTTAGTTCTCGCCATTCATATCTAAATTCATCTAAAGTCATGCGAACTCCTGGCAGGTGTTATTTTATCAGATACTAACCATTCCCTTCACTCTTATTTTTCTCCTTGTATATCTTCTGGTAGAACGAGACGTAATTACATTAAAATCCATGCACGCAGACAAAGTATAAAAGTTCTATAATACCTTACCTAGCAAATATACTCTGTGACGAACAGGTTGTTAGAGTTAACCTAGTCAATAACCTGCACTCTTAACATGTCTCTAATTTAAAAAGTTGTACAGTTTTTCGGTTGTTTTTTTTTAAACCTTTTCTTTTCTTTTTTTGTCGTTGTTACTATTTTTTGCGTAAGTAACTTGTTAAAATCCCCTGTGCTGAGAATTCCATATTGTACCAAAACATAATATTAAATAAAGCCATTAATAATAATAATAATAATCAATAATAAATAATAATAATTAATAATAATTAATTAATGTAAGCTAGCGAGTGTTAGATTTAAATGTACTGGGTACCTAAATATCGTAATAGAAGCCTGCCTGTTATGTTCACCAATTCGAACTCAAGACTGAAGATAGAGGCAGGGATAAATATATATGATGCAACATGAGTTAAGATTATCTCGACTTCAATTCAATATTAATCGTCCCAGTAAATGCGTAACATTGGTCACATTTTAGGACACTGAGCTATAGCCGAAATTTTACAAACGTGTTAAAGAAAAATTACTGCAGGTTTCTGATTGATGAATAATCTCGGATACTAATTAACCTTTAGTCATAACTATCCCTTATAAGCCAGTGGCTGACGAATTTTCGGAATGTATACAATAAGCTCATCTGGTCACTTCATCGAACATGAGTAAGTGATCAATTAATAAGGTCGATGCACACTTATTTTAGAAACGCTATCAACATCTACTGAAATGTTATTAAATATAGATTCCTGGCAATCAGTCGATACGTAAATGACTTTTCATTGTTACACAAGATTTCGCTATGAATCGGGTTCAATTAACTTTAAACTAATCATTTAGTATATCAACTAGACTATCCAATTCATTTTTTTGAGATAGATCTATGAGATAACAATAATGGGGTAATAAGAATAACAATCAGTTTCTAAGTTCCAAAAGTTGAAAGTAGACTCTTTATTGAACGTTTAAAGTATTGAACATTCTATTGGCCGTAAAGACAAAGAAACAGGCAGTAAATTGATGGAATTTCAAAACCTTAAAAATTTAATTCCCCATTTCGTTACTCGCCTTTATTAATATACGCCTTTTCTGATGAATAACATTTTGATGGTTGTCCTTACTTATAAGCTCTTTTATTAATATGAACTGAGGAAGGGAAGGAAAACCCAGGGATTTTAAGTCGATTGTACTTAATTAAATAAGTGAAGGGTGGCAAAAAATGGCAAAATCGATGATAAACAGTAGTTTATGTTTTTTATAACTGCAGAAATAAACAAACATGGGAAGCCAATGAAGACAGTGGCGAGGTAGAAAAGATTCACACTAACAAGGGCTTGAGAGAAAGGATGAGCAAAAATAGATGTCACTGAAAAGGGAGCTGTGGTGTTGTCTTAAGTTGACTTCCTGTATTCTGTTTACTCATGCAGTAAAAAACATGGTTTGAGGTTTATTACCATTTAGCCATTTTTTCCCACCCTTTACTTTATCAATCAGTTATAACAAACCATTGAAATCCCTGGGGTTTTCTCTTTTTTGCCTGTTATGTCATAGGTGTTGTGTATAACCTCAACGTTCCAATCGATTCTTTCCTCTGCCTACCTTTCTAATGACTCTTAACCAATGGATGCTTAAGCAAAGGTTTGTTACAGATTTTCAAAAGGTAGCCCCGGCAATCGAGCTAACTGTGCGCTTTCCGCCGGTGTTTTACTTTCTCTGAATTCTCCTGGGCTCAGACGACAACCTCAGGAACTATTAAGGAGTCAAACCATAGGCTGGAGATGGTTGCATACAAGCAATAGCATCTCAATTTTCTAGTAACTTACGAACCTCCATATCGTATACCTGCCAGAAAATGCTCCTTGGGTACTATTTCGACTGTAAAGTTCTGGCAACTTTTTTCTCTAGAATTTACTGGTATCCACTGTAGAATCATCATGCAGCTCTTGGTGTCTGTCTGTGGCTTACACCATGTTAACAGATCATACCCGATAAGTAAACTTCATTATGTCATTCACCCCGTAAAATATCTGATCCAGATTGTTCATCTCACCTTCTCATAAATATTATATTGCCCTCACAGTTTTCATGACGGCACTGTTTGCCATTCAAAATCCTGCGTTTGATGCAGCTGCAACATATGTTGACATTGTCGCGCCAGTGTAAAAAATGATGTCGACCACCCCCGTGTCTTCTAAACCCACATTATTTTCCCTTGAACGATCACACTAGTGGCAGACAGGTTATTACTAATAAATTAGCACTGCCTACTTTCATCACACACGACATTACATAGTAGGACTCAATCTGTTTAATTTTTCTGCGGCTCAGGCACGATAGTCTCGCCTCCATTCACCATGTATTGACCTGTAGTGGATATTGGCACACATTTTCATATGATTAATTGGGTTTAGAGCGGACAGCATCACAAAGGTTTATTAACGCTTTTCTTCGGGATATTGACAGACTCAACAAATTCAAGACAGCCCTCAGCAGTAAGTGTGGTGTTTGAATTAACTAATGATTCTTTTGTACTTGTTGAATGCTCGATTTCGAATTCTAAATACAGTACATTCGTTGTGCCTGTGTCTTCTTAATTCAATTGCGTTAATCCTGGGATTCCTAATTCATACTATAATTAGAATACTATATTGGCGTCGCGATGGAGCCTGCAATGGAAAAGTTAGATATTCATTCAACTTCAGAAGCTTTTGAAGATTACTTTGAAAGGTTCGAAATCTGGGCTATGACCAAGGAAGATGATGAGGATGTTAATATTGTGGCACACTTCCTCACATTCATTGGAAAAGAAGCATACAGCTTATTAAGAACTCTGGCTATGCCGGAAAAACCCATTTCGCTTTCTTATACAGCTCTCAAGGATCTACTGCTAGACTATGCTCAGTATACAAATTTCAAATGTCGTAAAGGAGGAAGATTTCGTAAAATGATTCATGAGGATATAAAAAAGTCCACTACATTACTACGTCATCTCAACCTAGTGCATACTCAAGGTTATGCAGACAATTCATTGAATTTGGATGCAGTTCACGAGGATGGGGACAAGTTTGGTCAGTGTTTGTCCTGTTGCAAAATCCACTCTTCTAATTCATGTAAATTTCATAATTCTAAATGCTTCAAATGTCGTGATATTGGACAAGTTCAGTCAGTTTGTAATGCTAATGTTCATCTTACTGCAATTAATATTAAGTCTTGTAATTCTGATTCTACTGAGTCGAGTATTCATGATGATCATTTATCTTTATCAACGATTTCAAAAGACAGTGCAGAGTCATATGGCAGTTCAGAGTTAAATGAAATCCAGAATTCTTGTGAGACAACATTTCCTAATCAACCGATTTATCAGAATTCTCATGCTATTGTACCAAGTATGACTTTTCATAATGATTCACATATTTCTAATGAAATTACTTGCAATTCTGAGGAAAATATGTTAAATGAACCTAATCATGATCGAAAACCTGATGTGGTTTGGATAGATGCTGATTTTTCTAACGATCCTACGCTCTGCAATGACAGTCCTGATGAATTTCATGAGAATATTTCGGAAGAATCAAATCCTGATGTCATATCATATATTACCTATCCTCATAATGTATTTGATCTTCGTGAAAAACCTGCCCAATGCGAAGCACGAGTACTAAGTGACCTCGAGTTTTATTATATTTCGGATGATTTCATATCAACTGCTGTTTACTCTTATCACAAAAACAGTTCTAATGTTTACTCTAAACAATGTGAGATATATGTTTTAAATGAAGCCACATTATTCATAACTTGGGAGTATAAAGATCCAACATTATTTCGTGGGGGGGGGATAGTGTTGAAAAATCTATGGTTCGAATTCTAGATATTAATGATTTCATTACAAAACCGACATGCTGGTTGTATACAATTCCATGTGAGTCTGTTCCGATTTCGTTTGTTAATTCCAATACTAATGAGCACTTTCTAGATACTACAAAGTTTTTATCTTATACAATGTCGGACAGACTCAGGATGAACTTAACAAGAAGAAGTACAACCGATTACAAACACTTATACTTCTATTTAAGCTGTGGCGGATGTGGTGTTTGAATTAACTAATGATTCTTTTGTACTTGTTGAATGCTCGATTTCGAATTCTAAATACAGTACATTCGTTGTGCCTGTGTCTTCTTAATTCAATTGCGTTAATCCTGGGATTCCTAATTCATACTATAATTAGAATACTATAGTAAGTTCCAGTCCTTTCATGATCTACTCAATGTAGAGGGGACTTCCATGGAGAACAACTGGAAAGGGATCAAGAAGGCAATCACTTCAACATGTCATGAGTTTTAGGGCCACAAG